GCAGACATTTCGATAAAGCCTACTATAATATTAACTCAAATTCCAAATCAACAAAGCAATTTATAAAAGGAAATGGTAATGAAGTATTTTGATTTTGACAGGTGAAATAATTAAACACTGTCCAAACCCTCCAAACGCTAAAAGAAGGTGACAAAATGTAACTTTTTATTTGTGAAATTGCAGATACGAATGCATGAGAGTTTTAGAGTTTCCATCTCTGTGGTAGAAAGTAGTAAACAACAAATTATAAAGTAGCAAGTTTCTTCATCTCCTAGAGGTCTTCTTTACATGCTTGATATGCAGCTCTCCATTTTTCTAGGTCAGGACTGCACTGCAGCAATTCGGCAGACAACTTTTGTGCAGGCATGCTGTCCAATGTGTATTCTTCCTTATGTTGTATGTTTATGCACGAAAAAAAGCCAGGATTACTACATCACTCACACATGGGTTGTTTGCATAAACTAAACTTTTTGTTTATGCGCATGCCTAAGCTGGAAACCTCATTCATGAAACATGTTCATTCGGTTCCTGTCACAAGGTTGTACTCTGGCACATCCATCATTTGTTCTTCTGTAGGTCAGTTCTGTGTCACTTGTAGAGCGTGTCAGTTACATAAATAGCATCCTGCTCTGCTGCTGGCTGTGCCTTTGCAGTTATTTCTTTTTTTAATCCGTGTGCAAAAAAAAAAACCCCAAAACATATGAGATACCCTACAGGGCTGGACCCATGGTGCTTGAGCTCAGGTTTGCAAAACCCACATGGAAAAAAAGGTGGAAAAAGCAGGGAAAATCACATGAACAGTAAAGGCATGTCAGGGCATTCTAATGCAAACAAAATACCAGAACATGACCTACTTACGTTTTCCTTAGGTATTTTCTTAATTTTGCAAAGTTGCTTCTCCTCCCAACATTTTAGACCATTTTTTCCTAAGTTGATCTTTAGAATGCTTGACTCCATGTTTCTGCAGAACATTCACAACTTTTTCCATTATGGTGTCTTTTCTGGCATTACGTCTGGAATAAATTGCAAACAATCTTCCTTCTGCAGGATATGCACCATATCAACCATCTCACTGACACTCATGGTGAGGTCTTACTTCATCCTTTCTATGATTTTTGCCATCAGAACTGAATTCACGCTCGAAAGACATCAGGCAAACAACACCTGGTTGCGACTAACAGATTATGTGGATTGGAGCAACATTCACCATATTTATTTCCAGATAATATTTGTACAAGTCATTCTGAATTGAGAAAGCTTGATTAGATGACCAGTGAAACGTCTTTAAAAAAATACGAGTCCAGTTGCCTTGACTTATTTTTTACAGATATCTACAGTCATGGTCAAAAATATTGGCACCCCTGCATTTCTGTCAGATAATGCACCACTTTGCGCAGAAAATTGTTGCAATTATGTTTAGGCATGCTCATGTTTATTTATTTTGTTTGTATTGGTATGGCACAAAAAAAGTAAAAAAAAAAGCCAAATCTGACCCATTCCACACAAAACACCAAAAATGGACTGGATAAAATTATTGGCACCCTCAATTAATATTTGATAACACAGCCCTTGGAAAAAATAACTGAAATCAATTGCTTCCTGTAACCATCAATTAGTTTCTTACACCTCTCTACAGGAATTGTGGACCACTCTTCTTTCGCCAACTGCTCCAGGTCCCTGATTGGAAGGGTTCCTTTTCCCAACTGCTGTTTTGAGTTCTCTCCACATGTGCTCTATGGGACTCAGATCTGGGCTCATTGCTGTACTCTTCAGCCCTTTGTCTGAAACCATTTCTGGGTGCTTTTTGATGTGTGCTTTGGGTCATTGTCCTGCTGTAAGACCCATGACCTCTGACGGAGACCCAACTTTCTGACACTGGGCCCTACTTTGCATCCCAGAAATCTTTGGTAGTCTTCAGATTTCATAATGCCATGCACACAGTCAAGACGTCTAGTGCCTGAAGCAGTAAAGCAACCCCAAAACATCAGTGAACCTCCACCATGTTTGACTGTAGGGACTGTATTTTCTTTCTTTAAATGCCTCATTTCTTTTTCTGAAAACAGTAGAATGAGGGGCTTTACCAAAAAGCTGTACTTTTGTCTCAGCTGTTCACAGCACATTCACCCAAAAGGATTTTGGCTTCCTCAGGTTAGTTTTGGCAAACTCCAATCTGGATTTTTTTATGTTTCTGTGTCAGGAGTGGGGTCCTCCTGCGTCTCCTACCATAGTGTCCCTTTTCATTCAGATGGTGACATATAGTGCGAGCTGACACAGTTGTACCGTGCCTGAAGGTCAGCTTGAATTTGTCTGGAAGTTGATAGAGGGTCTTTATCCACCATTTGAACAATCCTTTGTTGCAATATTTGATCAATTGTTCTCTTTTGTCCACGTCTAGGGAGATTAGCTACAGTGCCATGGGCTGTAAACTTCTTGACAATGTTGCGCACAGTGGACACAGGAACATCAAGATCTCTGGAGATGGACTTGTAACCTTGAGATTGTCCATGCTTTTCCACAATTTTTGTTTTCAAATCCTGAGAATTCTTTGCTGCTCTTTCTTCTCCATGCTCCGTGTGGCACACAGACACACAACAGAAAGGTTGAGTAAGTTTTTCATCATTTTAACTGGTTGCCGGAGTGATTTCTATAGTGTCAGCACCTGTTAATTGATACACGTGAGTTTAAATACAAATAACAGGAATACAATTATTTCTTACAATATAGAGACGGTGTCAATAATTTTGTCCAGTCCAGTTCTGGAGTTTTGCGTGGAATGTCTCAGGTTTGGCTTTTTTTTCTCAACTTTTTTTGTGTCATACCAATACAAACAAAATAAATAAACATGAGAATGCCTAAACATTTTTAATTGCAACAATTTTCTATGCAAAGTGGTGCATTATCTGACAGAAATGCAGGGGTGCCAATATTTTTAGCCATGACTGTAAGTGTGATGGTGGCAGTCTTAAAATCTACGGCTGCCATCAGATTATAGCTTTAGCACTATGAGCCTCACCCTGCAAAGAGATTTTCCAGCTCGTGAGACAACAGTCTAGCAGACAGTGATCCTCCCTGGGGTGTATCAAATCTGCAGTTAACCCTTACACACACAATAGCTGCCATCATGTGTTTTAATGGAACAGCACAGTTCAAAGGGTCTGTTATAGTAGTTCTGACCCATAAGAAATGTGTGTCTTCCCCTGCAGCAATAAAACAGGGTGTAAAATAATGTAGCAGGGGTGTAAATAAAAATCAGTGTCCCATAGCAAAATTTTACATGGGGCCCCCCCGAAACCGCAACCCCATCCACCTCCGCAACCTAACCCCGCCCAAAAAATAAAAACAAGGAATGCCAAGTACTCCCTGTCAAGAGGGCATGCTGGGATGTGTACTCCATGCTGGGATATGTAGTCACTGTTGGAAGAGAACATGCTGAGATATGTAGTCCCTGTCAGGAGAGGGCATGCTGCGATGTGTAGTTCCTGTCAAGAGAGGGCACGTTGGGATGTGTAGTCCCTGGCAGGAGAGGGCATGTTGGGATGTGTAGTTCATGCTGGGACCTGTAGTCTGGCTGGGAAGTTGCATTGGCCTGGTGCCATTAATGTAAACTACTTCCCTTGTCACCTAGCTGCCAAAGTTGCACTTTATTTGCAGCTCTTTTGGCACTGTGTCCTGTGCTCTCACTTATCTCCCCACTGACCTCAGCCAGGGCTGATTCTACATGAAAGGAGGGAACACATTGGCTTCTCTGTGCCTGTAAATCACTTTCTCAATATGCAGTGTATGGCCAGTTTAAAGTATATTTCCACTTTTGCAGCCATGTTGGAATAACACATTTCTTATATTTATAACACGCTTCCATTTACATATAGCATTTGAGGTTGAATCAAGTTCAACCTTTGTAATAGCATAAGTTAAATAATAGCATAGCATAAGCTAAAAAAATTTTAAAAATACTTCTAGCTTTTACTTGGATTAGGGTTTCCACTTGGCTTCTTAATAGTTAACATTACAACTTCTTTGTAGTGTTAGGAGGGGTTCTGAGTAGTTTGTTGATCCTATCTGTACTAGTGCCTGTCCTAACAAAGGGTTAAAGGACTATAAGTTACTTTCTGAGGAAAAACCTGGAATCAGCCATGTTGTCTGCTGCAACAAAACATCTAAAAGGTAAGAAAGCCAGAGTGTAATGCCGAGGCAGTAGTAAGAATCTCAGCTGCGGAGGCTATACAATTATAGGGGTGTTCCTTAGGGTACGGCTTCAGGGTCGGGTTCCAGGCGTCACTCTCAAAGTCTTAAGGGGAGAGTTTGGAACCCTACCATCATGTGCCGCAAATTAACAAGGGTGTATCACTATTAATTTAGGGTAATTTAGCATACAACGTGTAACTCATATAAGCATAGTGGGAGTGAGAGTCCCAATGGTAAATAGGCAATCCTTGCAAGGTAGTTGTATTTAGTGAGGATATCAGCAAGCACTAGCAGAGATCTCTGTTATAGTCACAGAGAACGTATACTTGCTGTTTGGCAGTGTTCAAGCTGAGACGGTATGAGGTTATCCTGGGTTCTGAGTCCACACAGCAGGGAGCAGGCTGTCAGCTGGCGTTCACAACGAATAATAGAAAGCCATACTTACCTGGCTTCCTGCTATTTATGAGGAGTGGAAAGGGGAGGTGCTGGTGACGCTTTGCGGCCCGATGCGTTCCACGCTGGAATGCATCGGCGAATTCACTTCCTGCTTGCGACTGCGGTCCACCCTGGAACGCACGCCGCGATCGTTACAGTACCCCCCTCCCCCCAAGGGAAGCCCTCCCGGGGTTCCCAAGTGGGGACGGTTTAGATGGGTGTCTGAGGTGGAACCTCTTTACTAGGTCCGGAGCATGGACCTCCCGGCTGTTTTCCCAGGAGTCGTCCTGGGGACCGTAACCCTTCCAGCGGATCAGGTACTGTAATCTGTTCCAACGTCTCCTAGAGTCCAGGATCTCTTCCACTTCGTACTCCTCATGATCCATCACCCGTACCGGAGGGCACGGAGGAGGAGAGCGATCGGGGAAAGGGTCCGGACAACAAGGCTTGAGTAAGGAGACGTGGAACGTAGGATGAACGTTAAATCCCTCGGGCAAGGTGAGTTTCATGGTGTTCACATTGATAACCCTTTCTATAGGGAAAGGACCCACAAACTGTTTACCCAATTTCCTGGAGGGGGTTCCCAAGCGTAGATTTTTGGTGGAGAGCCAAACCTTGTCCCCGATGCTATAATTGGGAGCAGGTCTCCTCCGGAGGTCATAGTATCGTTTCTGGTTGTTTTGAGCACGGGTGAGATTGTCACGTAATACTGCAGTCATTTTCCTGAGGTTCGCCAGATAGTCAATGGCTGCGGGAACATTAGAGGAAATCACAGAACCCGGTAAGGGGTTTGGGTGGAATCCGTAGTTGGCAAAAAAGGGGGAGTGGAGTGTAGATGAGCTGGTGGAGTTGTTATAAGCGAATTCCGCTTGTGGAAGCAGCTAGAACCAGTCATCCTGGAGGTGCGTGCAGTAACACCTGATGTACTGCTCCAGGCATTGATTTATACGCTCTGTCTGCCCATTTGTCTGGGGGTGATAGGCGCTAGACAAACGGTGGTCAATGTGGAACGATGCACAGAGAGCCCTCCAGAACCGGGAAATAAACTCCGCGGTCGGAAATGATCTGGGAAGGTATTCCGTGTAATCGCACCACTGTTCCTAAAAATGCATTAGCTGTTTCTTTTGAGGAGGGAACCTTGGTTAGTGGGGTGAAATGGGCCATTTTAGTTAGTCGGTCAACCACCACCATGATGGTGTTGTGACCCGAGGATGGAGGTAAGTCAACAATAAAGTCTAATGACACGGAGTCCCATGGTTTCTCTTGTATAGGTAGGGATGTCAGCAGCCCGTATGGAGGTTGTTTCCCATGTTTACAGGTGGTGCAGATCTGACAGGAAGAGACATATTCTCTCACCGTTTTGCTCATCTGGGGCCACCAAAAGTGGCGATGGATGAGGTCCAGGGTCTTTGTGACACCTGGGTGTCCCGCTAAGGTCCCATCATGTAGAAGTTTAAGGATCTTGACCGTCAAGGGGGAGGTATGTACAGTTTTGCATTTTTGTACAGAAATCCTTCCCCGTCGCGTTCGAGACCCTGAGGGATCACTGAAGAGGTAGAGGTTAGGCATACCTTTAGCTGGGTCTTTAGACTAATATTGGCAAGGACTATCCTATCAGAGGATATGACTGAGGAAGGAGCTCGGAGTGGTGGTTGAGTCTCTAACATTCTGGAGAGAGCATCAGCCTTCCCGTTTTTTGTACCTGGTCGGTAAGTAATTTGAAAATCAAATCTTCCGAAGAACAGGCTCCAGCGGACCTGGCGGGCCGACAGTGTCTTACTTGTCTGCAGATATTGCAGGTTCCTGTGGTCGGTGTATATCGTTATGGGGTATCTGGTGCCCTCCAGCAGATGCCTCCAGGTTTCAAGTGCACACTTTATGGCTAGTAGTTCTTTTTCTCCCACAGGGTAGTTGTTCTCTGCGGGGTTGAGGGATCTGGAGAAAAATGCTATGGGATGCAATGGTTCAGAAATAGAGGTTCTCTGGGAGAGAATAGCTCCAATGGCTAGTTGGAATGCATCTACTTCAAGCACGTAATGGCTCTCAGGGTTTGGCAATTTTAATATTGGAGCAGAAGTGAACTTCTGTTTTAGGGTGTCAAACGCAGCCTGAGATTCCTCAGACCAGGTGTAGTTTAATAATGGACTTGTCAGGCGGGTAAGTGGTTTTACAACAGCTGAGAAGTTTCTAATGAACTTCCTGTAAAAATTGGCGAACCCTAAGAACCTTTGTAAGGCTTTTCTGGAAGTAGGGGTAGGCCACTGGAGGATACAATCCACCTTGGCCTGCTCCATCTGTACTCCATGTGGGGAGATCACATAGCCCAGGAACGATATGGTTGATCTTTCAAAACTGCATTTTTCCCCCTTCACGTACAAGGAGTGGGCCCTAAGTCTCGAGAGAACCCACCTGACATGCTTCCTGTGGTCCTGGAGGTTGTCTGAGTAGATGAGGATATCATCTAGATAGACAACGACACATGTATCCAGGAGGTCTCGGAAAATATCATTTATAAATGCCTGAAAAGTGGCAGGGGCGTTGCAAAGGCCAAAAGGCATTACTGCGTATTCAAATAGCCCATAACGTGTTCTGAAAGCCGTCTTCCACTCGTCTCCTCTTTTAATGCGGATTAAATCATACGCACCTCTGAGGTCAAGTTTGGTATATAATTGCGCCGTCTGTAATCTCTCTATCAGCTCTGGGATGAGAGGTAAAGGATAACGGTTTTTCACCGTTACTTTATTTAATCCGCTGTAATCTATGATGGGTCTGAGGCTCGAGTCTTTGTTTTTAACAAAAAACATCCCTGCACCCAGCCGGTGATGTAGAGGATCTAATGAACCCTTTCCTTAGGTTCTCTTCCAGATAATTTTTTAGATGCTCCAATTCCGGCTGGGACAATGGATATATCCTCCCTGTTGGTATGGCTGCTCCTGGTATTAATTCTATTGGGCAATCGTATGGCCTATGCGGAGGGAGAACCTCCGCATTCTGTTTATTGAAAACGTCAGAAAACTCATGGTACTGACTAGGAATTTCTTCGGTGGAAATCTGCAACAGGGGAGATATGGGGTAACATGTCTCTTTACAGAAAGTGGAATCAAGACCGATACCCCCTTGAGCCCTCCTGGTTCAGGAGGACAGACCTTAGGCTCAGGTCCCTCCCTAGGTGGTCCTGCGTTTAGATTCATGGTCTCCCGCAACTCCTGATTTTCCAGCTGTAGCTCCTGGACTGTTTGGGTTAGAGTTTCTACCCTTTAGGTAAGGGTGACGATATGGCCTGCTAGCTCCGCTGGATTCATTCTTTTGCGGTCTATTATTCTGTAATGCCGAGGCAGTAGTAAGAATCTCAGCTGCGGAGGCTATACAATTATAGGGGTGCTCCTTAGGGTACGGCTTCAGGGTCGGGTTCCAGGCGTCAATCTCAAAGTCTTACGCGGAGAGTTTGGAACCCTACTGCCAGAAAGCCAGAGCCGTCTATATGCTATGCAGACGCTACCTATCCTCCTGAAACACAAAGACGTAATTAGTGAGGATATCAGCAAGCACTAGCAGAGATCTCTGTTATAGTCACAGAGAACGTATACTTGATGTTTAGCAGTGTTCAAGCTGAGACGGTATGAGGTTATCCTGGGTCCACACAGCAGGGAGCAGGCTGTCAGCTGGCGTTCACAACGAATAATAGAACGCCATACTGACCTGGCTTCCTGCTATTTATGAGGAGTGGAAAGGGGAGGTGCTGGTGACGCTTTGCGGCCCGATGCGTTCCACGCTGGAATGCATCGGCGAATTCACTTCCTGCTTGCGGCTGCGGTCCACCCTGTAACGCACGCCGCGATCCTTACACAGAGTTAGACTTTCCAGTAACTCTATTTCCAGTAGTCTTCCAGGACATCATTGTGAGAGATGGTGGCTCCTCTCTAAACTACAGGAAAGGAAACACATCACCCATTCAAATTTATAAGGTCCACCTCATCTCCAGTCTCTCGAGTCATCACGAGAACCGAAGGAAAACTAAAAAAAGCAAAAACAGACAACACAACCAGAAAAGATCACCACAATAAACACTAAAGGGTGGGAACTTGCTGTCCTGGAAAACTACTGGAAACCGATAGGGTTACCGATAAGTCTAACTCTGGATTTCCCATTACGTCTTTCAGGACAGCATTGTGAGAGGATAACTAAGAACTTACCCACATCTAGGGCGTGACTACGGTTTGAAGTACCTTTTGACCAAAGGCATGATCCCCTGAAGAATTAAGATCCAAGGGGTAATGTCGGATGAAGGTAGAGAAGCTCGACCATGTGGCAGCTTTGCAAATTTGTTCCGGGGTAGCACCAGCTCTCCCAGCCCAAGAGGCTACTAAGGCTCTAGTAGAATGAGAAGGCATTGTAGGCTTCTCCAATAGACTGTCCAAGCCATCTAGCTAAAGAGGACTGCCCGCCCTTGTACTTCCCAGAAAAAAGGACAAATAACGCATCTGATTTCCTAAATTCTTTAGACACCTGAAGGTATGGTAGCAAGCAATGTCTAACGTCTAGACAGTGAAAGGATAATTCCTTGTCATTAGTGGGATTTGGACAAATTTAGGTAGGACAATTTCCTGTGATCTGTGGAATGTTTAGAAAATTTTCGACAAAAAGGCAGGATCTGTTTTTAAGATAACACGATCATCAAAAATAGAAAGAAATGGTTCCCTGATGGACAAGGCTTGCAGTTCACTTATTCCAAGAGTCGGAGTTAAAGCAATCGAAAAAAATATTTTTAGTTTAAGAACTCTGAGCGAGGACTCACTTAAAAGCTTAAAAAGGGAACCTGTAAGGCCCTGCAATACTGTAGACAAATCTAACTGGGGAATGACTCAGACAGGCACTCGTCTAATTCCCTTGAGAACTTTAAAGAATCTAGATATAAGCTGATCTTCTGCAAGGGAGACCGGAAGAAAAACACTAAGCGCAGCTACATGTACCTTAAATGTACTAAGCGCTAAACTCTTGTCGGCCCCCTCTTGCAGGAAATCTACAATAGCTGGGATATCTGGGTTCCTTTTCCTGTAGGCACTAAAGGTCTTCCATACTTTTCCATAAATCTTCCTAGTTACTAGTTTACGACTAAGTAGAAGGGAATCAATTACTCTATTGGTAAGACCCCTAGCGCTTAGGATGTCTTCCTCAGATAAAAGGCTGTTCGATTGAATCTGATCACCTCCGGATGTAGGACCGGGCCTTGAGAGATGAGATTCGGCCTGTCAGGAATAGTCCTAGGTGGGCGGTCCAGGAGGGAGTGAACCATACCCTTTTGGGCCAAAAAGGCGCAATTAAAATAGGCTTTGTTTTCTCTAGAAGGAACTTCTGAAGGACTCTGTGAATAAGATGGAACGGAGGGAAGGTCTAAAGTGGAGAATCCCAGGGGTTTGACAGTGCGTCTACTGCCAAAGCGGAGTCTCTTGGATGCAGTGAAACAACAAAAATTGATCCATCTTTGCATTTTCCTGTGAGGAAAATGATCTGCTACTGGAGGACCCCATTTCTCTGACAGGAGAGAAAAGACTTCCGGGTTTAGACTCCACTCATCCTGAAGTATCTGATGACGACTGAGGTAATCGGCTAGGACATTCTGGGTTCCCTTCAAGTGAACTGCTGATAAGGAGGCCAGATTCATTTCCACCCAGGAAAAAAAATATTTGGCTAGACTCTGCAGAAGAGGACTTCTGGTGCCTCCAAGAGATGATGGCCTTTCAGCCTGTCTTGAAAGACTCCGATAGTATTCACTATCGCTTTTGATTCCCTCCAGTTTGTGGACATCCCTGACTCTCTCTGTAACCACTGTTCCTGAGCTATTTGACTAGCTCGGTGTGCCCCCAACCCTCAGGAGCTTGCATCCGTCGTCAGTTTCATTGAGGCTTGGAAGGAGCACTGAAGACCAGATTGGAGATGTGTCTGGTTTTCGCCACCCCCACAAACTTCTCTTCACGGCCGAAGGAAGCAGGACCACAGAGTCTAAACAGTTGGAAGTGGCCTCTGGTGAAACCGTACCCAACTTACTGCAGGCAAACATGTGAGATGTGAGAGTAAAACCCTTGACCTATCTCCTGCTTCGGGAGTGATAAATCTTTGAACTACCAACTCCCCCAACAAGAGACAAAGAGCCTCTGCTTTGGCCAAATGCTTTGGAAGATTTGTGACAAGAAAACGCCTGGGAGGAAAACTGATGTACTGTCACGGACATTCCCAGCTGCAGCGTCTGGGCCGCAGATCCCGGGCCCTCCTTCAGCTCAGACGTCACGGAGTGACGTCACGCTCCGCCCACGCCCGCGCGCTCCCTCCTTAAAAGCGAGGGAGAGTCAATTGCTCGGCATTCAGTCAATGGATAACTGTACGCTGAGCAATTGCTCCCATACCCCCCAACTGAACTGCCACAACCTGCTGGTGGAACCCGTGAACCCTCACAGGAGTGAGTACCCAGCTCGTCAGCACAGCTTACCTCTCTCCCGTCTGGCAAGGACTGCACTGCTCGTCTCAACTGCAAGTATTTCAGCTTAACAGCCTGTGATCATTTTACAGCCTTATACTAGCGCCATCTGCTGGTTCAACTACAGATTACACCCTCCTATAGAACTGCTTGTACTCTGGACTCTCACTGTGTATAGTTGGAGCTTCCCCAGGCAATTGCGCAGGGGTTTATGTGATAAATTGTGGGGAGTTATACGTTAACCCTTGGTTGTGGGTACTGTATTTAATCACCAGTATATGCGGTAATACACTGGTAACTCCTCCCATTGTTTCCCGTGGTAAATGATGCTTGTGGGAACTGCGCCCCCTCACTAGACCTAAGAGGGTTAAAGCAGCATCCCCAATCTGAACCACTCCTTCACCACATTGGGGAAAGCCCTGAGGTTCCTTCTTGAGCTCCATAGGAAGGGGGTAGAGCTTTACATGTACTCCAATCTGTAGCCCTGTTCAGATTCAGGATGAATTGATTGGAGGTAATCTCAATTCAGTGTGGGAGGAAGCCCCCTAACCTTCTACCCACTTGAAGAAGACAGTCCTTGCTGATTTGGGGCTTGGGAGGAAGGATTAAAGATAAGCCCCCTCAGCCCCTACCCTTTTGACCTGACCAATTGTTTTTTGGGCTCATCTTCCTTACTTTCTTGAGTTTTATTGCTGGGTCCCCTTTTTCTTCCCTGGGAAATCTCTTTTCTTGTCTGCAGTGCATTCTGTCTCTAATTCAGGTCCAAAAAGTATGTCACGTTTTGAGGCAGAACCACCCTCCCAAGCTTTCTGCCATAAGGCCCAGCGAGAGGAGTTAATGGAGAACTATGGGGTAAGGGCTTTTCCCCATAGTTCTCCTAAGGGTAAAGGGAGGACACAAACTAGCATCCTCCCGTCACCCAAAGCTCAGTACAGCTAGCTCCCCCGTCCGTTCCGCCAGTCAGCGCTGGAGGATCGGATAGGGGAGGGGGAATCCAGTCACTCCCCTGTCACGGCTCTCTGCAGTGACAGGATCGAGACGTGAGCGAACTCCAGTATGCGTTTGCACACTTCCCGATCTACTGAGCCGACCTGTGACAGTTTCATTGTCACAGGTCGGCTAGAACTATGAGGATGAGTGAAAATCACTCACCTCATAGTTCTCCTTTAATAAGCGCTGAGGACCTAGCGGTCATCCTAATGGATTCAGCAGAAGCACCTGCAATAAATCAAACAGCCTTAAAGAGCATTGGAAGAAAGTCTGTTCCCTGGGGGTTCCTGCCATCAAGTGGGTTCTCAATTGGGAGAGTCAAAACTCCAGATTTCTAGCCACACAAGTAGTGGCTAAGGCAGGCTTAAGATTTATTAGAGAAGAATCCCAAGCTCTTTTGAGCAAGATCTTCCTCTTCTTGTCCATGGGATCCCTAAGAACTCCCATGTTCTCAAAAGCCAGGTCTGACTTCTTGAAGACTTTGGCTAAAGGAGCATCCGATTTGGGAATCTTGTTCCAAACTAAGGCGGGGTCATCGTCAAACGGAAACCTCTTCTTAAGATTGTTAGGTCTGAGAGGCTTCTTCTCTGGGTCTGACCGCTCTTTAAGACCTGTCTCTGAAAGAACCTTATGCAAAGGAAAAGCATTAGATTTAATTTGTTGTAATTCCTGATGCATGCGATCAAGTCTAGAAAGCTGAACACATTCTTCTTGTATTTCCAAGGTGCTATAAACGGTACTCAGTTTCTCAACATCCTCTAGAGATAACTTATATCTGGAAGCACTGGTGATGTCATCCTGGTTACGAACAAACATCGCATTTCTCCTTAGATGCCACTTTAGTTCTTTCTGTAGCCTTCGCCTGCCGAAAGAGTACCCAAGATTTGTAAAGTCTTGTCCAAAATACTGTCCAACACCCAGGTCAAGAGTGCCACTCAACACCTAAGCGTCCTACACCAAGTGACCCCAGGTGGAGAAGAAGGTCAGGGGTAACAGGGAGGTGAGATTTTGAATAAAAGAATCCACCATATCTGAACCGGGCTGGTGCCAGAGTGACCACTGCTGTAGAAGACTGCAGAGGTTGCATAGAGTCCATTATGCGGAGTGTGCTGGGATAAGCAGACCTGCCAGTGTCCAAACAGTCGCTACTGAGAGCGGCACACAGACATGACCAGCCAAAGGCCCCCCCTTCCTCCCGCTCCAGAATGGGGCCTGGAACGCAGGGCCTCCGTGCGCAGAACTGACATGACTCGCACCGGAAGTAACGTACATGGTAATTCGTCTGGCCGTGGAACACCTCCTTGGGACCAGCCATGGGACCAGCGGATGCTCGTTTCCAGGGGCCCAGCCATGGGAGATCAGTCAGCCCTGGTCCTGCAAGGAGACCTGAAGGAGAAAGGGAAGCCAGCAGACACTACAAAAGTGGAAATACGCTTTAAGTACGATTATGATACTGGCCCTCAGAAGTAACTGCATAGTTTCGATGGAAAACTGAGAGCTCTTGAGCTGCCATTTGCAACCACTTTTTGTGGACCCTCAGGTAAGCCTGTACTAAAATACCTTTTTATTCTAGAAAGCATGGTGCACATCACAAATAGTAACCTGCAATTTACAAGGTCATGAAACTCTTTTTTTGGCATTACTGTTTCCAAAGTACATATTTGGAATTAGGTAACAATTTATAAACCACACAGTACATAGTATTTTTTCAGGCAACGATGCCACAATCGGTAAAGTACGTGATATAGTTGCAACCGCCAGACCCAGACACGACCATCGGATTGCTAGACAGAGAAGCGTGATTAGTCACTCCAGAGTACACGTCTCCACTTCTCTAAAGTCCAGTGGCGGCGTGCTTTACACTACTGCATCCGATGCTTTGCATTGCACTTGGTGATGTAAGACTTGGATGCAGTTGCTCGGCCATGGAAACCCATTCCGTGAAGCTCTCTATGCACTGTTGTTGTGCCGATCTGAAGGCCAAACGAAATTTGGAGGTCTGTAGCTATTGACTCTGCACACAGCTGGCGACTTCTGCACACTGTGTGCTTCAGCATGCGATGACCCCGCTCTGTCATTTTACGTGACCTACCACTTCGTGATTGAGTTGCTGTTGTCCCCAGTTGCTTCCACTTTGTTATAATACCACTAACAGTTGACCGTGAAATATTTAGTAGCAAGGAAATTTCATGGAACACCCGAATCCAATGATTTGGAGGGGTGTCCCAATACTTTTGGTAATATAGTGTGTGTGTATATATATATATATATATATATATATATATATTAGGGATGAACCGATACCATTTTTTCCAGACCAAGTACTTATACTTGTCCAAGTACTCACAGATGCAATCACTGATACATTTTTGTTTAGTGTCATGTGGCAGCTTTTCTAAAACGATACAGAGTAATGATTTCAGGGCAGTGGTGGAGAGCCAGGGCCCTGTCACAGCTGCAACTTCTGCAAACCTGGTAGTTCTCATGAAAATGCACTGGTATCTGAACAGGTATCTGAACATCCCTAAGAGAAAACACAGCAGCAGTATACAACACTATCTATTTTCTATGGTCTCAGGCTGATTGCAGTATGGAATAATGTACACCCATCCAATCAGCATTGAGTCGGCCAAACAGCATGGAGCCAGATTCCTGGCCAATCAGGAAGACGGGCCGTGGGTGATGACCCTCCTCCTGGCTTCCTGATTGGCTGGGAAGCCGGCTCCATGGTGATTGGTAATCAAGAAGCAAGGCACAGGTAATGACATGCTGCCCAGCAAGCCGGCTCCATGCTACCGAAGTACCGGTATCAATACCGAAAAAACGGTATCGGTGGCTCCCTAGTTACATAGGTTAAAAAAAAGACACAAATTTATTGAATTCAACCTATAGAGAAACAAAAACACAAAATAGAAAAACCTCCAAACACAGAACCCTATGCCTAGTTACCCACAGTTGATCCAGAAGAAGGCAAGAATAATGCATAGTTCAGTTTGCTCCAGCAGGGGAAAAAAACTATTTCCTGATCCCATAAGGCGATTGGATATTACCTGGATCAACAATCCCTTGTGTTTTTTTAGTTATAAAATCATAATCTCTAGTTACATTCTGTGCATTTAGGAATGCTTCAGATTTTTTTAAAAACAGTTAACTGAGATAGCTAGAACTAGTTCCTGAGGAAAATATATTACACGTTTTCATAGCTCTTACTGTGAAGAAAAATTTCTGTATGTAGTAAGTTCACTATATGGACCAATTATATATTTATACGTGATGATCAGATTCCCTGTAATCGCCAAATTAAGTACAGCTAATATTTCCTCATAGCCAGGGGCGTCCCGAGGCTGGGTGACACCCGGAGTGGTTACCGGGTGTCACCCCGCCTCTCCTCTCTCCTGATACTGTAGAGCGTTTGGTCCATGACCGAGCGCCCGACTTTTCAGAGGGGGGTGACACCAAAATGACTGCCAGTCATTTTGGTGTCACCCCTCCAATGGTGTCACCCGGGTGCGGGCCGCACTCTCCGCGTGACGTCACTGCTCATAGCTGAGCTCCTCCATGCCACTGTGTGTTTAGTTGCCCTTCTCTGCACTCTCTTCATTTCTACAACATCCTATGTGAACTGGTGTTCAAAACTGAACTGCATATTCCACATGAGGTCTTTCTAATCCTTTGAAAAGGGGCCAAATTATGACTCTCTCTCCGGAATCTATACCTCTTTTAATTCAAGTAAGTTTTTTGCTTAATGGGGGGTGTGGGTAGGGAGCGGATGTGAGTGGGCGTGCATGAGCGGATCTAGCGTGGATGTAGGTGCAGGCATCCTGAATATCCCAAGCATTGCCTCAGCCTTGTCGGCATGATATTCTCCCAAAACGTGGACGGACCACAGCAAAGATTCGGGTGAGCAGTGAGGATGGAGCAGATGCACGAAAGTGTCTTCCCCCTACTCTCCTCAATAATTACCTGGGCCTTGGTCTGCTGGAGGAGTGGAGGCTGATCGGTCCGTGTGGTGGAGTTGCGGTGGACCCCGCTCTGTGTGGCGGTGGGTGGACGCTGGGTGGACGCTGGCTGGTCGGCTGACAGGGAGAAGGAGTTTTGGCGGTGAACGTGGTGTTGGCTCCCTCCAGTGGCTGAGAGTGGAGGTGCAGAGTGCTGGACTGTGGAGAAGAAGCTGGTGGAGGGTGTCTTGGCTCCCCCTAGAGGCAAAGAAGGAATAGCGCGGTTGGGCAGACTGCTTAGTGATCAATATTAGCTCACGTTAAAAAAAAATATATATATAAATATATTTTATATATATATAAAATGACCAGAACTGGGACAAAAAAACAGACTGTCCAAGAGACTGCTAGTGGTGGGGGAACTAAGCAATCACCCTGTGAGCCTAAACAGGCCAGTAAAGTGAAGCAGAAAGAAGTAGCATCAGGATTGGAAAGATTTGCCAGAGGAACTACAACAGGTATCGAGACCAAACAAACAAAATGCGATTAAGTTTGGGAGATAAGTCTCTCTGTAAAGTCACTGAAGATGTATTTGAGGTGGAAGAGGGGGCCACAGGGGGGACTCTGGATATATTTAATGGACAGTTACCTTTACTAAATCCTGACGCCTCAGGTGACCCCCACTCTTAAAGATGTGTTGTCGGCAGTACAAGGCAGTAATATCACTTTGATATACATGGCGGAGCAAATACAAGCTATGCGGATAGATATATCCTTTCGCAGACAAGATATGCAAAAGTTTAGAGACAGGTTGACGGAGGCAGAAGATAGAATTAACAAGCTGGAGGATGTAAATACTTACATAGTTACATAGTATTTGAGGTTGAATAAAGACATCAGTCCATCAAGTCCAACCTATATAGGATCATCTCATGCTTAGTACTTGTACCCCTGTATATTACGGTCCCTTAGGAAATCGTCCAAAAGTTTCTTGAACAATTCCACACTCTTAGCTGAAATCACTGCCTGCGGCAGTGAGTTCCAGACCCTAACCACTCTTACTGTGAAGAACCCGCTTCGCCCCTAGTGCTGGGATTTTTTTTCCACCAATTTTAGGTGGTGGCCTCTAGTTTTTGTAATGGAGTTAATTTTAAAGAGTTTGAACATCTTGTACATGAAAATCAAATCCCCCCTTAATCTCCTATCTTCCAACGTGAACATGTTTAAATTCAGTAGCTTCGTCTCATAGCTCTGGTCCTCCATTCCCCTAATTAGTCTCCTCTCTCCAGCTCAAGAACATCTTTTCTTAGTACTGGTGACCAAAACTGGACCGCGTACTCCAGGTGGGGCCGAACCAATGATTTATAAAGTGGCACAATTATAGACTTGTCTCTGCAGTACATTCCCTTCTTAATACAGGACAAGACCCTACTAGCTTTGTTTACAGCAGCCTGGCACTGCAAGCTACCATTCAGTTTGTGGTCCACAATGACCCCCAAATCTTTTTCTATTTCAGACTTCCCTAGTGGCTTACCCATGATGGTATAGCCCATTTGTTTATTTTTATTTCCAAAGTGCATTACTTTGCATTTATCGACATTAAACCTCATGGCTATTCACTCCCTCCCCGATATCATTAATAAATAGGTTGAACAGTATGGGACCCAGCATCGAACCCTGAGGCACACCGCTCATTACACTAGCCCAGTCCGAAAAGGTGCCATTTATAGATACCCTCTGGACACGATCTCGTAGCCAGTTCTCTATCCATGTACACACCACTTCATCTATGCCCATAGATCTCAGCTTGTGTAGTAAGTGTTTATGTGGTACCGTATCAAAAGCCTTAGAGAAATCCAGATATATCACGTCTACTGACCTCCCTCCATCCATATCTCTACTTACCCCCTCATAAAAAGTTAGTCAGGCAGGAACGGTCTTTCCTGAACCCATGCTGATTGTCATTACCTATCCCATTATCCTGAACAAATTCAACCAAATAGTCCTTAATTATTCCCTCTAGCAGTTTACAAACTACCGATGTTAGACTGACCGGCCTATAGTTCCCAGGTTGGAATTCCTAGCCCTCCGCCAATCACTTGGCACTATACCAGTCATTAAGGAATCCTTAAAAATTAGGAATAATGGTCTAGTTATAACCTGGCTTAGTTCCTTAAGTACCTTGGGGTGCAGGTTATCCGGACCCACTGCTTTGTTTGCATTAAGCAGTTTAAGTCTTTGTTGTATCCCAGTTTCCGTCAACCACTGGGGTATATTTTGAGTTAAACTATGAGTTTTATCATGTATGTCAAACCCATTTCCCTCCTGAGTGTATACTGAGGAGAAAAAAGTGTTCAGCGCCTTGGCCCTCTCCTTGTCATTTGTGACTAGCTTCCCTCTTTTGTCCTTTATTGGGCCTATCTGCTCCTTCCTCACCTTTTTACTGTTTATGTATTGGTAGAATTTTTTTTGGTTCTTTTTACTAACTGTGGCGATATGCTTTTCGCACTCTATTTTAGCTTCCCGGATTACTAGTTTGCATTTTTTATTACATTCTTTGTAGTTAAGGAACGCCAATGCTGTCCCCTCCATCTTATATTTGATAAATGTGCCGATCTTAGAATGGCGTTGCAAAAAGTTAATATTAATTCTCGTAGATTGAAGTACTGGAAAATAGAGCAAGGCGTAATAACATCAGAATGATAGGAGTGCCTGCACAGACTGAGGGATTAAAACCGGTGGCGTGTATGGAAAAGTGTATATTAGAGACAATAGGAAAATAACATTTATCTCATATTTATGATTGAAAGAGCCTATAGAATTCCTGCACAAACTCATGTACATGAGAATTTGCCAAGGACTATGCTGATTAGAGTGGCTAACT